GTACAACTACATTATGCAAATAAGGTACATTGCATGCATTTGGTGCAGGTGGGGTAATGGGTGTGCCATTAACCAGACGTGCAAGGATCACAGTGAGGGGCTATGTGAATGGTGCCTCCTCTGTTACAATGAAATGCATGTATGCACGCGTCTGTGGATGCTCACCTCCACCTGTTGATGCCAACGTTGGAGGATCCTGCGAACCAGGGGTCGAGGATGTAGACGCAGCGGACAGTATCCGCCCCCAGCAGGGAGTCCTTCAGCGACGGGTTGTCGTGGAGCCGCAAGCCCTTCCTGAACCAGTGGATCGTATTAATGACCATTACTCAAGTGGACGAGTCCTAGTTTTCCTTTGTGTTATTTAAGTCTATTTTCTTACTCCAACTCACTGTTTGATTACAAAAAATATATCGAAGGAGGTAAAACCAGATCACAGGGAACCCAAATGTCAAAAGAAAAGTATGCTTTTTCAGCTCGTATGCTATTGAAGCATACGACTCGTTGCTTTTTAGTGACGCAGTCCAAGTTTGCAATTAACCTTGTTCTAACAGAACTTTTTCCATAATGTCGAAGAATTTAAAAACAGTAGGCTGCTGAACCATTTGGGCAAGATGTGCAACCCGGTGGGCTTTAGGACCCAGTCCGCTGACAGGCAGTAATCTCGTTTTGCGTTGTATAACTTGTTTTTCTGAAAAAAGCGTGTATAATGATGCACTACAACGCTTCTGTATACCTGCACTCTGAATGAATAGCAAGAAGCAGAGGGATTAACTAGCCTGTCAATTCAAATTGTTTCTGCTATCGGTCAGAAGTCACCGTGGAAACAGGCTGCTCCTCGCCGTGTTATGTAAACACTGTTCCTTCGATATTCTCAAGAGAGTCGTCCTAAAACAACCGGAACATAAACATAGCTGTGAAAAATCATTCTCGGTCCCGCATGATTCTTCTCCTGCACTGTCAATCGGATGTTTTTGAGTAAATTCTCCTCAAAGTCCACGAATAGATGATCGATCTTCTCGCCGCACCTACAAGTGTGACCCCGCCCACACTAAGCTTCCAGCTGTCTGATTGGTCTAAAATGCTCAGTGCGTTGTCTGTACTGCAGCGTGCTTTCCAGAAGCTGAGACAGTTGTACATTTAAAATGAACATAATTGTGTGTTGAATTATAACCTGTTATGGTAGTCCTGACGTCCCCCTCATATTAGCAGGCTAATTCACGTGGCTCTGCTTTAAAAAAAAAAAAATACTGCACGTTTTGACCGGTTTCGACACAGGTAGGCTACGCAATATAGTAGTTTAATGATTAATAGTTGTATAATATGTGTGCACATACACTTAGAAGACATATTGTTGGTGTATAAACGTAACACTTTAAATATATCAACAGAAAACCCGACCCCCTACACAGCCAGCTGGCTTGTTGACAGTAAAAGAACCCGGATGAGCACATGAAGTCAGGCATGATGAGCGGGTCACGCGTCTGTGTGCGTGTGTCTCTAAAATAGTTATAGCATTCTGTATGTTCAGATTTTGGCTGTCAAGTACAAATCACAGCCTATTTGAACTTTAGAAACGATTTTCCTCACCACAGCTTGCTTAGAAGTGCTTTTTTTTTATTCAAATGCATGTTATGTTATACATTCAGGAACAGTCTTTTCAAGATTCTGTGTATCTTAATGTTGTCTTTTGTTTCTCACATTGCTTCTCTTAGTTTTATTTGAGCATTGTGTGTCTTGTGTTAAACTGTTTGATTTGCATTGCTGTTACAATATGCTATACAAATAAACGTACCTTGATGTAATTGGTAAGCTGATATACAAGTAATTGTACCTATTTTACCTTACATGGAGAGCTTTAAGTGTATGAGGTTTATTTACATTGTTATCAAAAGTCAAAGTCAAAGTCAGCTTTATTGTCAATAATTCTACATGTTGTACATCCAGAAATATCGAAATATCGTTTCCCGCAGTCCTACAGTGTGACATATATACATAAAACAAAAAACAAAAAGGGCCTAGATAAACATGGTATACATTAAACAAAACAAAGGGCCTAGATAACCGGGGTATACAGTTTAAAATGTTAATAATATAATTTAAGTGTTCAAAGTACAGTTTCAGTGCAGTAGCATGGGAGATGGGCAGAAAAGTGAGTTAGGGGGTTAGAGTCCAGGACCATTTGGGCCAGGGGAGAAAGGTCGGAGGCAGGGTGGAGAGTTCAGGGGAGAGATGTCAGAGGGCGGAAGAGATGGAGGGAGGGGAGAGAGTTCAGCAGCCTGACCGCCTGATTATATTATGATCATAAGAAGTAGAAGTAGTGATATACACCACACTGTCTTGTTTTTTTTTTATAGTCTATGCTTTTAGTCTATGCTCTAAATAAAACATAATCTCTTACTCAATATATTGTAATTTTGAAAGACATGAAATGCAGTCTTTGGACTGTAGTACCTTGTTTATGTCACTGAGTGGCAGTATAGTATCATGCCACTAACCCCTCCCTCTAAGTTAGATGATAACTGTACTACATCCATACATGATAAGAGTTATTTTCCTTTTGTCTTTTACATTTCATGAGCCAACATTTCCACAGAATAATATGGTGTTAAACATGTTGTATAATGATGTACAATAATACAATATGAGTCAAAGTTTCTCACAGTCACTTCACAAAAATATACAAAAGAATGAACATAAAACAAGCAAAAGGCTTAATAAAATATAGAGAGACTACACAGTACTTCACTCGCAGGAACATCTACCAAAACAGTATGAAATTATAAAATTGAAATGTAACCGAGCAGCATGACTAAAGAATTGAGTGAAGAGGATACACTCATTCTGCTGGCAAAATACTAGCAATCTATCATCTTGCTGGGAAAATCATGATCTTTTTTTGCTGTTACCAGGCAACCAAGGCTTAATACGTCTTGAGGACAAGCTTTGGAGGACCACGGTGCATGTAGAGGAGCAGCTGCCCACCTTCACCACTCTCACCTGGGTTAGTCAGCAAGATATGCTGCATTGCATCAAGAGCTTTGGCACACTGGAGATGAACTCAGTTTCTGTCACACACTGGAAAACAAGACGTGTTAATGACGACATTCAGTTATAAACTCTGTATATGTATAGATGGAGTATTATGCAACATGCATTTTATCATTTAATAAATAATTAATTAATTTATCTGGAGTTAATTTAAAAAGTATTGGTTTTTCATGGTTTTCTATTCTCATTACCTATCCCAATCTCCCTTATCTTGACAGGTAAATACAGTCATATTCACACAATACAAATCTTCTGTTCTTATCTGGAAAAAGTTTTATCCACTAAAATTCAGAGGCCCAAAGTATTTCCATGTCCAGTATTAATAGAGTATCTGCTCTAAAACATACATTATGCAGTGTGGAAATGCGTTATTATAATTTGTAAGCCAACCCACACTAGCACGATTTGTTTTTACACTTCTCTCTGTCAATCACCAGAGTGGGCGTTGCATCATTTCAGAAAACTCCAATGTAATTAGTTTTTTTTTGTTCAGTGCTGGCATGGGTGCTGCCATGTCATGCAAAGAAAATCTGAAAGGGCCAATGGCATGGCAGGCAGTGTGGACAGATGGTTGGTCCAGCTCAGACGTACAAGGAGAAGCCCCGGCAGAACGCATGAATCATCGTTCCACCAACTGTTCCCCTCAGCATGTCTTCAGAATCCAAATCACCCACTCTTTGTTGTTGTGGCCCGGCAAATAAAATATGTAATGTTGGAGAATAAATCCAACATCATGATAAAGTGATGCTAAACCTTGACGCAGGACTGTATCAGTAGATGTTGGACATGTGCTCTGGACAGTAAAATATTTATGATCTAGCATTAAAGGTTATGGTGTTCCTCAAGAATATGCTGCAGTCCCTTTCACTTCTTACTTCATCACTAGTTGTGGACGGCATGCCAACAAAGCTTTTCACTGCAGGACAGAGGTGTGTGTTTTATCTTTGTGCGATTCAGGAACAACTACACTTCCCACAGCAGGGTGGAATGTCAAGAGTTTTGAGAATGAGCATCCTGCACACTGCTCTTGCTCAGCCTCACAATGTATTGATCATATTCTGCTACCAATGTTATTTTCTCAAGACACAAGAGCAACCTGCATCTCAGATAGTTGGACGAATAACTCCTTTGAACGAAATCCAGAATGTAAAAACATTTGATTTCAAAAGGACATTATTTGTATTTTTAGCTGAGCATAATGGAAAAAGATAAAGACTTCAACGTATCATTTAAAATTATAGGCACATGGCAATATTATGAAATATATTTGTTTTTCATTAAATCTATTTTTACTTTAATTGAGGAAATAAACTGCATATTAAGCAGGTTTTGCAAACTAATACACACCCAATACACGCTAATACCCAACATTGCTGCTATGATAAGAATCAGGATCTAGCTGAAGGAGAGTAATGTCAATTACCTTTGACCTCTAAAAAAGAAATTATTTTTTCAAAACATGCACCATTTATGTTTGTGTCCCTTCCAAGCCATTTATACTCTTTCACAATGTGAAATTTTTTCCTGTGGTAATATTCAATTAAAAAGGTTGGACATGTGTTTTCCTCTCTCCTGCTGTTACTTGTCATCGCTGCACATTTTCCTCGGAATATCAAGAGAGCATCCACATTTCCCCCATGCGTCTTCTCAGTGGGAATTAAACCTCCTCTCATCCTGACACTGCCTCCATCACTTCACTGCAGATACAACCAATCTGCCAACCAATCTGATACAAATATCAGATTGGTTGGCAAAGCAACTGCATTTCTGATTCTGCAGTTCAGCCTCAGCAGCACCTGGTAGCCTCTGCTTAAAGGTAGCAGCAGGTAGATGCCAGTCAAAGCTGATGGAGGTGCGGATTGGCTTGTTTCTGCCCGCTGGGCTGCAGGCTCCTCCTCCCTCCCAGAGTCCTGAGCTTGTTGCAGACAGTGTGCGCTCTCAGGTTACGCGTGTGAAGTTGTGGACTGGAGGATTTCGAAGACACGCAGCCACTTAGAGTAGGAGGAAAGTAGAGGCTCTATTCTAACGTTTCACTCTTTAAATCTGGGGAATACAACCACGCAGCGGCTGGGAAACAGCAAGAAAACGACTTTGTGGCATTTAACTGGGAGACCAAGCATACCCAACAGTATGCGGTGCAGTTATGGCAGGCAATGGTAAGACAGTCGTGAGGACGCTGGAGGATTTAACGCTTGATTCTGGTTATGGTGGAGCCGCGGACTCCGTCAGGTCGTCCAGCGTGTCGCTGTGCTGCTCCGACACGCATCAGTCCATCGTGCATGGGGGTAACGGCTGGCATCTGACAGAGTCCATGCACAGCAGACAGAACAGTTTGGAGACAGTCAACACCGTCCTGGCGGAGGACACGGACATACTGGAGTGCTCGGGTCAGTGCGCCAAGCTGCCCGAGCTGGAGGACGTGCCATGGAGCCTTGGCGAGGTGGAGGGCGCACTGAGGAAAGACGAGGAGCTGATGGTGGGCGACCCTCCACCCGAGGTGCTGGCGCGGCTCTCCGCTCTCATCAGCAGCGCTCTGGTGAGGGTGGCCCGGGAGGCGCAGCGGCTCAGCCTGCGCTACGCCAAGTGCACCAAGCACGAGATCCAGAGCGCCATCAAGGTGGTGCTCTCATGGACCATCTCAGTGAACTGCATCACGGCGGCCCTCAGCGCCCTGTCCCTCTACAACATGAGCACCGGGGACAAGTTCAGCCGCGGGAAGTCGGCGCGCTGCGGGATGGTGTTCTCGGTGGGCAAGTTCTTCAGGTGGATGGTGGATAGCCGGGTGGCGCTCAGAATCCACGAACACGCTGCCATATACCTCACCGCCTGCATGGAGAGTCTGTTCAGAGAGGTGTTCAGCCGCGTCCTGCGCAGCGCGCTCGTGGAGAGGGACAACGGCGTGCCCAAGTTTACGCTGGAGTCTCTGGAGCAAGCCATCAACAACGACTCTGAGATCTGGGGGCTGCTGCAGCCATATCAGCACCTCATCTGTGGGAAGAACTCAAGTGGTAAGCTCAGTGCCAACCAGGGGTTATTTGTTTAAACATGTGATTGAATGTGATTTGGTCCTCTTTTGTCACCTCTGCCCAGTACCAGCCAATTTGGCAATATCCACCATAATCTAAATTAACTTAACTTTACCCCTGAAACAACTCACACCTTATTCAGAGGGAATTCCATTACTACTAGAAATATCTAAAAAAGTGACTGCTCAAATGGTGACAAATAATTGAGTGATGATCTGCTGGAATGTGATTGGACAATCTTTTGTCACTTTTGTGCTCCAAGCCTATCACTACACTTGTCCATCATGTAAGCCAAACCTTATTCACTTTTCCCAGTTCCACTTTATTCTGATGAATGTCTATGTGTGTTGACAAGAAACATCTAGAAACAAGTTGCTGCATCTTTAAACCAACAAATGGTGACTCAGCTGGAAGTGATGAGTCTTGACAGGAGAAAACTGCATTTTCTATCACAACAACACACTCATAAACCTCTATGCTAAGTGGTATTCATATCTTTTGAGGAGAGTATGGTTTCAAATAGCATTTTTGATTGATTTCTAAGAGTATGTGATTGTGAGAATATTCTTCACAGTGCATGAACATGATAATCTGCTCAGTTGGAAAGTAAATATGACTGCAAAGTGTAATTATGCTAGGGAATAACTACTGCTTAGCACGTGTAATTCGCATCCAAACAAAAGAACTTGACAGTCTCTTGAATATTTATTACCACCAGCTTAGACCTCAAGGCCCACCTCTGAAACAGGAGCTGCCTATCTTGGTTATCAAAGCCCTGGGGCAAGAATAGGTATTTATGGTTAAAAAAGATCAAACAGGCTCAAACTTCTATTTACTTTGAAGCTGTTGTGCTCTCAGACTTTCATTTAAGACGGCAATGTTAATGATTGTTTTGCTTTGCGTGTGTAATAGCTGATATGTGCGTCGTGATTTAGCAGAAACAGGCTTTGTGTTTATATTGTTTGCTGGCCTCGTTGGTTATGCTATTACTGTCTCACTCCAGAAGGTGTAAGCTGTCAGTGTGGGCTGGCCCTCTTATCCAAAGCCCTCAACGTGTTGGCTGGAACTATAAAGCAGAAGGGACTTGAAATTGTATTCTTCCAGTGAGAGCAATATTGACCAAAGAATCATATTGCAGCTCTTTTGCTAATTGTTGAAGCACCATTTTTTTAAATTTCAGCAACTTAATAGAGGTGGTAAACAAAGAAGAAAAATGTATCTGAAACAGCACTAGGTTCCCCAGGGATATGACGTGATTTGAGATTCAATGTCAATGGATGCAGCTTTTGCTCACACAACAAGTTATTTTATATAATCCAGAGTCTTCCATTTCTGTCATGCAGAACTCATAGACCAATAATCCCCAGCCTAATGCACCAACATGTCAATAGGATCAGAGCTTAAGCAGTGAGTCGATGCCTCAAGCAGAAATGGCAAAAATTAGGACGGTTCAAGCTTCTCTTATTTTAATATTTGCTGTATGACATCTTAACCAACTGAAAACCTTTGATATTGTGTCTGTTACAAAAAAAAGGTCAAACTAATGAAGTCAACGTAATAAAGCCACATGTAAAGCAAGGTTTCTTGTGAATTTGTAGATTACACTTGAGTTTGATCAGATTTTCTGAGCTACTACGTCTTTTATTTTCATTTTTTAAAAACATTTTTATGCATTAGGATACCTCAATGTTTGATTTCATCATGCTACAATTCCATGGAAAAAGGATAGATTATAATATTGAATTTTTGCACAGCCCTAGATTAATCAATAATGAAATCATTAGTTTCAGCACTAAATAAATATACCTTTCATTATCAATTAACCTGCTAGTTATTTTCTTAATAAATCCATTGATCTCAAAAAATGAATCTTGGTGATAGACAGAATGCTGATCACAGTTTTACTTCTAAATTGGATGTCAGACATTTCTTCTCAAAATCCCCTCATCCATCCTCTTTAAGAAATCCTGTGACTCTGATATTTGGCCTCGGTGCAGATGCTGCTCACGACTGTTGCTTTGTCTTGAAATTGCAGCAGAGAAATGGGGACTCCTCTGCAGACAGGATGCAGAGCCCAGCGTGCACCCCCCCCCCACTCCCACCCGGTGTGATGGTGCAGAGGAGGCTACAATTTGCACTCAAACAAAACTGCATGATGTCATTCTGTGACAGCTAGGAAGGGAAAGCACTGTTTTTTTATGGTGACTTTCCATTTTATATCCAACATTTTAATAAGCTGGATTTGTCACTATTGGGTTCATGACCAAACTTAGAGAAGAATAACTAATTGAAATGTCACCTTTGAAAATGAAAAATTGGGTCCAAGTATTCACTCAAATGTCTGTTGGTTCTGATATTCTCTGTTTCCAGCCTTTTCAAACAAAGCTGACTGAGACCATGAGATTACTGTATGTTTAGTAACATAGAGCATAGTCACACTACTTGCCTTAATTTCCCTTGGTTAACAATAGCAGTGCAGCACATAATGAACTTCCACACGTCTCTCTGCTCTCCCACATACCGTAGGTTCGTTACAGCCTCTTTGCTGACTGATTAGAAGAGCTATGTAGGATTTTCTTCACTTCCTTCGTTTCCTTTGCTGCTGCTGTCTTAACCGCATTCTGTTACTTTTATAACATTTGTGTGCAGATTCAAGTTGTGCTTTGATTTGTGTGATGGCCGAGTCTTTGATGAGTTAATACAAATCTTTTTTTTTGTCTAAACCGGGTAACAGGGGCGCTGTGCCCTCTTAATTTCAGCGTGCGCCCTCATACCAAAATGCCGATTTTCCCTGTAAAATCTTAAAGTGACACCAGAAAACAATATTTCTGTCTGTCAAAAAGTGTATAATTACTCAAAAACTATGAAAATCGAGTCAAAAAGACCGTCAGACCGCAGAGACGGCTTTGTTTTTACTGAGCTCCGACGTCACGTTGTTGTTTACGTCTACGGCGCTATCTTGTTCTCGCAAGAATTTATATATTGTATACACAAGATCAGCGCCCTCATACTATATTTATATATAACATATCTTTTGGTCTGATTTATGTATCCAAATGCTTTTGAGATTTAAGGCACAAAATGCCAGTGTTGCAACTAGTTTGTGTTTAACCGCAAACTAGTGACATCTCGATTCATCACAAATTAACTCCTCTGGACATGCCACTGTCCTATTTCCTAGCAATGACGTAGGTCAACTCTCAAGAAAAGCAGCAGTTTGATAATGTTTGTTTACTGGACTGCCACATCCTGACTTCATTCTGTATTTAAAAGCTGATATGATGTAATGCTACACTGACAAAAGCAACAATACGCATGCATGGTACAAAGCAGTTTGTCTAGTTGTGAGATATCGGTCAAAATATTTTGTGTCAAATTGTTGCCTCCTGACTTATATTTCTCTGCAGGGATTCTGACTCTTTCTTCCCAGTCATGTTAACCCACCGATGATAAGTGACGTCAGAGACAACAGCCTGGTCATCATCTTCCAAACCTACGGGGGCAGCGTTTACATTTGGGATCCCGAATGACTTGATTGTTTCTGATTATCATTTGCTGTGACCTTCCCCATAGAGCTTACCCAAGCTCCGCAGGACAGATGACACAACATAATGGAATTGCGTAGCCTGCTAGTCAGTCTATTAAATTAGCAGTGGGGTTTCTGCTCTCCCTCCACTCTCTGGGTGTTTCTCAATCGCAGTGGCGAGCCGTCAGGGCCCTCTAGGCCCTCTGTGAGGGCCTAAGATATTCCAAAAAATAATATTTAAAAACATTAAAAATAAAAATATTTTTTTAAAATATATATTTTTTAATATTATTTTGTTATATTTTTCATTAGTTTTACCGAAAAAAAAACTTGATTTAATAAAATAACATTTCCAAAGAAAAAAATCCTTCGAATCTGCCTGTTCAGTCTCTGTTTGAATGCGGGCCCTCTGTGAATCGCAGAGAGGCCCGCTATAGTAACTGAACGAGAGAGTAATGTCAAATGACAGTACAATTGACCAATCATATCTTCCCTCTAAATGGGTGGGTTTTATTATCGCGGACTTTATGACGAGTTCCGCCCGCTGTGAAACTGTTCTTGTTTCCATAGCAACAACAACTTCCTGTCAACAGCGTGAACTCGCCTTCAAAATAAAAGCATGCCAAATTACACTTAAGACATACAACTGCAACGAAAGTAAGAAACACAATGCAATATCATTTTCAATGTCAAAGAACACAAATTGGGTTCACAGGTGTTGTTTTGTGTGGTAGAGGGTCGCTGTCATTGATGCGTTTTGCACCCTGGGCCGTTGTTTTGATATTCCGCTGAAGTATACGCTGTGACGTAATAACTATTTTTTTTTCTTTTTTTCGAGGGAAGGGGTGGGGGTCAGAGGGCCTAGGTATAAAGCTCACGGCTCGCCACTGCTCAATCGCGAGTAAAGCTGCTTCAGAGCCACTATTTTAAGCATACTACGTCATCGAGTGCCGCCGAAGTACTGTTCCAATGTCCAGCATACTTTGAAATCTACCGAGCCCGGCGTACTCCGTTTGGAGAAATATCGAGGCTGCACATGAGTAGACTCCGCGGTCTTAAAATCCCCACAATGCTTTGCGCACGGACCAATTTCCCCAAATCTGTGGCGGAAGATGTAAGGCGGGGGCCTCTCATATGACGCACACCTGCACACTTGCTAGCGTGTTCCACACTTCGTTTTCCGAATGCCAGGAAGTATTCTTGACTCGCTTCTGAAGCAAGATGCTCGGCAGACATGTGCTACCAAGCAAGCGTACTCGCGATTGAGAAACACCCACAGTCTTTCACACCATCTTTTATTGTGTGGCCTGCTAGAGGGCGGCCTGCATGTTTGCATATTTATTTTCCACTGTGGTTTTTAATAAGCTCAACTCATATCCGCACGATCCTGGCAAAGCCATTTGTTGTCCATTCTGTTATTATTTTCCTCCTGTCCTTCCCCTCCTTTGGGGTGGAC